CTATCCTTACTACATTTTACAGGTGCCCTATTAAGAGTGTGCTCACGTGTGGTATTACAGTGTGGTTTGTGGTAAGGCAGTGGCTCGCTGTTTGACCGGAAGGCGAGCCAAGTCCATTATTGGAGTACAGCTCCCCTCTATTTTGGACAATTTTACAACACGCTGTCTCAGGAAGGCTGGAAGTATTGGTAAGGATACCAATCATCCTGGTTTCTCTCTGTTATAGGAGCATAAGGGCATGATTCCAGATTCAGATACAGGTTCTTCCTACAAACTGTCAGATTACTGAACGCTACCCTTACCACTAACTCACATTGATGTTTTTTCTCTTCTCATACTGCTTGTCTGACTTTTTTTTGGGTTGTATGTTATATACAATTTGTTGTTTCTGCTGCTGTTCTGTGTTTAGGTTTTTGGCCATTCCTTAATGTCTTTTTATCAGAGAATACATGCAAATAAGCATTTAATTGCCCTTCTGCAGATGACAAAGAAACTGAACTGAACTGCGCTGTAAGGCCCATGGTGTTAAAAAATAAAGACAGATAGCGTTAAACTGCACATTCAGGGAACAGGAGTTTTGTTTACTCCTCCCACAAGGAAATGAGAGTTAAAGCTGAATTTTAAAATGGAAACCAATGGAAAAAAATATTTGGCATTAGGCTGATGTCTAGTTGCTGAGATTAAATCACAGTAGTTTCCCCTTTCCCCAAATACTTTTGAGATGAACAGTTGGCAGACAAAAGTATTGATACCTTTAATTTACATACAGACAATTAATAAGCATTTGGTTATACTTTAATTTTTATCAATGATTTGGCTTTGAAGCTTACGAATTCACCCTAACAAGCAGTAGTTTTTGATCTGGAAGGCAACTGGTTACACCAGAGCTAATTTACAATTTTAATTTAAAAAAGATGTGTACATTTAACTAACCCCTTTTTCTAGGTTTTCATCTGTAATTATTCGTAATAATTTTTGAGCATCCTCAATAAAATGAAACTAGCTGACTTTTAAGGGTGACTTTTCAAAATGTCAAGACCATAAAACAAGAGGTGTAAACAGGCTTCATTGTGAGGGTGTGGAAATGAGAGCTATATACAGTACTCTAACCTACATCTTGAAGGTTTTGCCACATGAGGAAGAATAATATGCCTCTCCCTGTATGTGTGGAAAGAGAAAAGATTAATTTTGGTAAAATTCAAAAGGCAATATAATAATAATTGCTTCCACTTATATAGCACTTTTCTAGACACTCCACTCAAAGCACAAGTACAACAGGTAATGGGGACTCCCCTCCACCACCACCAATGTGCAGCGTCCATCTGGATGATGTGACGGCAGCCATAGTGCGCCAGAACGCTCATCACACACCAGCTATTAGTGGGGAGGAGAGCAGAGTAATGAAGCCAATTTATAGATGGAGATTATTAGGAGGCCAATGAGAAATTTGTCCAGGATGCCAGGGTGACACCCCTACTCTTTTCGAGAAACACCCTGGGATTTTTAATGACCACAGAGAGTCAGGACCTTAGTTTTACATCCCATCCATAGGACAGCGCCTGTTTACAGTATAGTGTCCCCGGCACTATACTGGGGCATTAGGACCCACATGGACCGCAGGGTGAGCACCCCCTGCTGGCCCCACTAACCTCTTCAAGCAGCAACCTTAGTTTTTCCCAGTTGTTCCCAGTTGTTTTATATTGTTTTCTTTGCACTAAACACTTGCTAGAAATTGTGTTAGATAACAATTTGACTGTTTTGGTCAACAAAGCCAACAATGGCTTATTTATAAAGAAAACATAAAACAAGAAAAAGATAAAGACCCCGTAATTTTGGCGTGTACTAAGCCTTTTGTTGGTACTTATCCGGGAAGCATAAGAATCATAACAAAAACAAAAAAGTGCAGCGCTTTAAGTTTATAAGTATCTCAGTGATAGAAGGTGCAGCTTTTCTCCTACTCAGAAAATAGGGATGGCTGGAAAAGCAGTAATTACACTTTAGAGAGAGAAGTCACTTAAAAAAAATTTTGGAAAATCAGAGGCCTTATTTATGTCACAGGAAAAATTGTGGGTCAATGGTGCCATCTAGTGGCTTTTTGAGCTTTCCTACAAACTCTTAAATCTTTCTGAATAGTCCACACAGAAGGCACTCCAGGCTGTAATCAAAACCTAGACCGAAGAGCAGCGGCACCAATGATTCTACCTAGCAGACATTCTACTGTTTTGGTTTGGTAAGAAATAAGTATACACACCCTGTATAATGTGGCCTGAGTGCACAATGTAATATCCATCCATTTTCTTACACTTTGCCAAAATTAGGGTTTTGAGAGAGCTGGACCATAACTCAACAAGCAATGGCCACTAGAAAGGGGAAACCCTGGACAGCACACCAGTTCATCATAGGGCATATAGACATACACACCCACACACCCAACAGGGACAATTTCCCCCAGGAGCTAATTAATCTACCAGTATGTTTTTGCATTGTGGTAGGAAACTGAAAAAACCCAGAGAAAACGCATGCAAAAACACAGAGAATATATAGCACTCCAGGGCCAGGATTGAACTCAGAGCCCCAGCACTGCAAGACTGTAAAGCTAACCACTGCGCCCACCAGCACGATAGTACCTGTATCCCAACTAGCAGGAGAATGTAAAGTTAACAAAGATTATACAAATTTGTAATTAAGGATTAATCAACAAAACTTCTCACAGACTAAGGGTTGTGAGAAACGTTATAAGGGTTAATTCTGGATTGAAGAAGCACAGCTCTGGAAGCTAGCGGTAAAAAAGCAGCTACCACTTCGTTTTGACGTCATGAGCTACTGGCCACGCCGAAAATGGTTTAAATTTTCATTTTTCATGAGTAAGGTTTCCCGGCAACAAAAAAAAAAAGCACAGAAGCACAGGCTACTGAAACCGTCAAAACGAAAACATGGCAACTGGGAGAGACTTGTGGTCCTGTGAGTCCCTTGAATATATACAACAGAATTCAGAAAAAACCAAACTACAGGGAATGTAGGAGTATGGCTGAAATATTGCACTGAAGTCATCTTACGCCTTGGCAGCTCTCCTCTTCGGTCTGCCTCCAGAGGTTGTTTCCTCCTCCTCTATGAGAGTCTTTTCTGCATTCTTCTTGTCCACTGGCTCAGGGGTCCCTGTGAGCCCCTTTTCAAGTTTGACAGCCATCAATTCTGCTTTAGACTTCCTGCCTCTCTTCTTGTACACCTTGGGCGGTGGTGTCTGGGTCTGGTCCGCCATTTCACTTTCATCTGGCCCTGGGTCTGAGGGCTGGGGTTCTGTTTGCAGCTTCTTGGGAGTGGGGTTTTTTCGGGATCGCCCTAATTTCTTTCGCTGGCGGGGAGCAGGCGACATGTTTTCAGACACACTAGGAAGAGTCTGAGGAGTCTCCTTCAGCTGGCCTGTAAGGAGACAGACAAGACCTTCACGTTAGGGGACGCTTTATGTAGCATAGAAAAAGAAGGTTACTTCTGACTAATAAGGACCTATTAAGAAAATAAGAGATCCTTAAACAGTATAAAAAGTTAAGAAAAAGACTTGTAGTCCTCCACATTACTACCTTTGTTTAGCTATTTTGACAGGAAACTTACGAAAAGAAAAATGTTAAAAACTGATGTCTATCACACTGATTTATCACTGTAGTGTGTGACACTCTTCAGATGGATGACAAAAAATGCAAAACTGTTATTTATTGGTCAACTGCTAACTCACACAAAGCCAGTCTTCGTTACAATATGAAACACAATTAAACAAAAGAGAAGCTCACCAAATTTCAAAGATTTCCAGAGATAGACGTCCAACTTTAATTTAAAGAATCAAGAGATTTTATGCATGAAAGGAATGCTTACAGGACAGACATGCATGCACTGCAGTCACTGTTTTAATAGCTTGGATGTTGACATGTTTTTGGAACCTTGTGACTATATGAAATAAAGTTAGCAAATCTGTAATTCTGTGATGAAACCACTGTGTGCTGAAATTTAGCAAGTGGTACTTTTTTTAACTATTAAACTGAGTTAAAATGGGTAAGTGCTTATTTCTGCAACTTGATCAGACTAGAGAGCTGTTATTCTTTATACACTGCAGCTTGAATTAATTCATATCTTTATATAATTTGCTAGGATTAAGGAGAGTTCAATACACCTAAAATACAGATGTGTACGACTGCAAGAGAAATGTAAAATATTGAATAAACAACATCACAGAAAGAATACATGAATGACTAACATTCTTGTATACACTGTGTCAATGCTTATGTCTTTCATCGTGACCTTTTACATACTCGAGACATCAAGACTACAAACAGTGATGCAGTTTCAGACCATTCTGACATTGGCTCTTGTCCTAAGATTTCAGCTGTATTCACAAACAAATCAATTACAATACACAAATTACTTAAATCCTGGTTTTTATTTTACATATAATGATTCAATTACACTTTTAGGTACAAATTAAGGACAAATACCATCAGTACTTACTGGGACCTTCTTCAGTGTTTTGGTGTTGTGCAGAGCATCCTAAAGCAAGATCCATTACTGAACCATTAGCCGTGTCTTCATGAGACTGAGCACCGGTTTCAGTACCATTTTCTTTCAGCAGCTGATTTACAGTTGTGACTTTCTTTAAAATCCTTTCCTTCTTTTTGGACTTTGCTCCTGGATTCACATGCTCTTCTGGGGCTGAGTTATCTCTTTTTGTCTCTAAGGGTCTGTTGTTCTGATCAGGGCCCTCAGCACTGGCCTGTTCTGTGTGCTCTGTAGTAGCCAACCCCTGGACTTTGGGATCTGAAGGCACACCCATGTCTTCTCCACTGCACTCCTGGACAGAAGCTGCCATTAATGTCCCTGGGGTCTCTTGACAGCCACGTTTAGTAGTGTTTCAACAGGGGAAATGTACTATAGCTTAATATCTGGGGGGACAAATAATTGTTTAAAGGATTATTTCAATGTCCAAATCAGAATCAGCACTTTAGCATGTCTATCATCAATCTAAAAACTTTGGTTCAACAATATTTTAAAAGTCAATCACCCTGGAATTAAAGAGCTTAGTTTACAAGAAAACGTTTTAAGGGTTAACTGACTTAGAAGCAAGCACCGAAAGATGACTATTTTTGTGCTGTAACTTGACTTTAAAAAATGACTTAGTTGTGAAATGAACTTTCTCACATTTTTTCAGTTGAAAGTGAACCAGAACAGCTAGCAAACTTTGGAAAAACCATATAGCTTACGTGTATTCAGGTCATGATTTTCCTGACATCTTTGGTCCCAGAGATGTTAACCCGGGAACAAACTTACTTTCGTTCATGAGGTCTGGATGTTTTATATGTACATTTTATAACTTAAATGTTTTTAAAATGTCGAAATAAAGTGCTCAGCTAAAAACTCCAGCTGCACTAATTTAATTAACATTATTTCGAGTACACATGCGTTGTCTTTACAATGTCAAAAATCACCTTTCAGACATTTTGTAAAAGAAAAGGACTTAAAGATTACGTTTGTTTTTTTTTTAATTAAACGAGGTCATTAGTTGGTTTTATCTGTTTTCTTCTATGAACAAGTTCTAATTCATTCTAAGTATGTCTATAATAAAGTGTGTATTCTGTACTTCTTTAAAGCGTCCCACACCTCGAAGGTTGAAAAGGCAATGACGTGGTATCCTAAACACAAGACAGTAACAGTTGAAAAAAAACAAACAACCAAACGTGCATCTCGACTTTTGACTTGCCGTGTAAATAACATGTGGTGCACCTACAGTAACATTTTGAATATCTAGCTTATAATATTTTAAGTACTGCTAGTCATTTTGCTCATACCAGTGTGCAGTACCACAACGTAGACATACATACGCAAAGTCCTCCTAAGCGAAGTGCAGAAGATCACAAGATTACAATGTAATAATATCCACTTAAAAGTTAAACATAGTTTATTTTTATTCCAGACACATAAACGTGTTTAGATATATATTTATGTGATTGCAAATATCTCCCATGTCCTTAAATAACAGCATTTTTTTCCCTTCCTGTGCAAGCAGTTTCCTGTAGGGTCAGTACATCGGGAAATCGATGGTCAACTATGAATCACTCCTTTATTGTTAAAAAATAAGTCAAACTGATAAGCGACTCTACTATATTTACTCTTTTAAAGGAAATATAGCTAGGCAGTGTACCCCGACTAACACAACACTAGTAAAGAACGGACATGAAGCCCTGGAACACAACGATCACGGAAGAAAAGGAGCTCTTTCTCTCCTAAATGTTGGATAGCTCAGTGTTTTAACAGCACCCTGCTATGTTGAAAACGGTATGAGGAAAAATCTGAGAGACACGTTTCGAAACTCCATGTTTAAACAAAACCTTCCACACGCCACAGCGCCATTAACAAAAACGAAAAATACCTCCACTTCCTAGTGGCTTCCACCCGAGATTAAAATGAATCTTGCGGGAAAAATACATGCTTCAAGAAGGTCCCTTAGGAAATTTGGAAAACATACACAAAAATTAGTTCTCACGGCGATTTTAACCTAATATATCATACGCTCACTATAACATCCTCCATGTTTGTTTAGAATTACACAGCCCAGGCCTGTTGAATCTGACCCGTTTCTCTGCTGCCCCCTTGAGCCACAGGGTAGACAAAGACCTAGCGCTTGTTTGTAATTCACCAACTCGCCGCAGGTAGGGCCTAGTGAGGACTGCTGGTCAAGAGCGATACAAAAGGCGGTGAATTCTAAAATGTTGCCCAAACATACAGTATATAATTTTCCTGTACAGAATTTCATTCCTCAGCTTTTAAAAACAATGATTAATAAACGTGATTTATTAAGGAAATTGATAAAAAACATATGTTCTGAATCTTAACGCTGAATACAATATAACGTTTTACCATGAAATAAGATTTTTAGAAATAAAAATATTTTTGTCATGAAATGAATGCGTACCATAATCTCTGATGCACCATTTGTCCATGGTTAAAATTCACCTACCTGAGGGTTTACTTTAAGATAATGCATTTAAAGGCAAAACCATATTCTGTCCCCTAGTTTAACAGCCATTTGTTAATAGGTACATCACCTTGCAACTCACAGCTAGCAGCCCTGTAAAACTAAGCAGGTATGAGCCTGGCCAGTACCTGGATGGGAGACCTTCTGGGAAAGCCAAGGTTGTTGTTGGAGGGTGGCCAGTAGGAGACGCTCACCCCTGTGGTCTGTGTGGGTCCTTATTTGCCAATCCAGTGATGGCAACACTATACTGTAAAAACAGTGCCATCCTTTGGATGAGATGTAAAACCAAAGTCCAGACTCTCTGAGGTCTTTAAAAATCCCAGGGCGTTTCCTGAAAAGAATAGGGGTGTTACCCTGGCATCCTGGTCTTTATCAATCATAGCCTCCTAATAATACTCATCTATGAATTGACTTCATCACTCTGTTCTCCTCCTAGCCGATAGCTGATGTATGGTGAGCAGACTGACGCACTATGGCTGCTGTTGCATCATCCAGGTCCCCATTACCTGTAAAGCACTTTGAGTGGAATGTCCAGAAAAGTGCTGTATAAGGAATTGATATTTTTTTGTATGCTGAAACTCAAGCCTAAAAATACTTACATGTACAGGGACTCCTCAAGGAAACTATTGCTCCTCCTGAGAAATAAAATCATTATATATAATTATACTATAATATATAACTATCATAATAAACATAACAAAAATATCCATGCCTATTCCAATAGCCTACTTGTTCCATCCTGGTATAAGTTCACCTTGAGCAAATCCCATGTAAATGGTTTTCTGGTAAATCAAAACAGCATAAGTAATTCCTTTTTCCATATTTTCTGATTATGATTTGTAGCATGGATGTATGTACTGCAGCATCACAGCTTTTGCATTCTGGGTTCAATTCTGGAATGCAGTACATTCCTTGTGGAGTTTGCATATATAAGTTTCCAACCACCTTCCAATGCCATTCTGTCTTGGTTTATTGGTGCCTGTAAATTATTTTTTGAGTTTTTGCCCTGCATTAAGTTGGGTTCCCATGTAGAGTGTAACCCTGCACTGAGTCACACAGGTCCTAATAAAGGATTAAACAAACCTTAAAAAAATGAGTGTATTATTATTTTAAAAATGCAATACAGTAGCTTAAAAGGTTCTCTAAAGACTTGCTCTCACACTAGTTGAATGAAAGGAAATTCTGACTAGTTTCCCGTAGGCACGTTCTGTTATGTCTCAAGACTGAGGTTATATGTTTATAGACTCTCAACATCAATTTCACCTAGAAACTGACAATTTTTTATGTTGCGGGTACTGAAATCAAAGCTAGAAACTTTAGTGTTACTTTTTTCTCCATTCGATTTTTTGAAGTGCATACAGTATTACAAATGTCACAATGCCAGCGTTGTTTCACCTGAATAACAGTGCTTGTCTAAAAGCACTGTTCTGTCTGTCTTATGCTGAAATATTTAAAATGATGCTTACTTGGATATCTTCTAAGGTGCTAAGTAGTATTATATATATATATAATTCAGTTATCTGTAATTACCAAAAGAGTTTTGCTGTGGTACATACAGTAGCTCTCATCCATAAAATCTTATTCATAAAAAAGCTGTACTATTTTATGAAGCCAGTAGAAAATGGATGGATGGATGGATGGATAAATGGATAGATACTACTACTACTACTATAACTGTATACTACTACTAATCATAATATCACTGTTAATAATATATGCCGTTGCATCTATATTTCTTCAGGAGATTGTACATTTGCATTTAAGGAAAACAAATACTAGCTGAGTGGGAATTACCTGATGATATGTGTATATTGTTAGAGATTTTGTACTGTATATTTGACCTTGAGCCACCTTACTCAGTCTAAGGAGGCCTAAGGGGTCTGAAAATATTAAAAACTCACATGGACTTCAGACGTACAGTGAAAGAGTGTTTATTGTGAGATGTCTTTCAAGGGTATACACACTCTCCTAAAAATCACCCCAGGTGAAAACATGACCCAATGACAAACCCTTAATATTAACCAATTATGCCACATAGTGTGTGATTACACGGAAGGAACTATTTTAAAAATCATTCATGCCCTAACCAGTGACATCTAGTGGCAATCCAGCTGTAACTCAGTTCTTAATGGCCTGGGCCAATATTCAATTTTAAGCACAATGTGTTGATATAGCCTGAAAACTTGAAAGTCTGTGGATAAAGAACATACAGTAAAGCTAAAATCTTACAAAACTCACTTGTATGCATTTTTCCTTGTATAATTTTACAGTTGTATGAATGTAATTATTTACAATTTTTGTGCCACAAATGAAAAATACATTAAAAGATACAGAATCTAATTGCATTCCTTTGTCAGCGTTTAGTTAAAACTATCTTTATAAAAATTACTTTAGAAAACAGCTCTGTTGAATCACCTGCAATACAATAACAGTTTCTTTCAAAATGTTGTTAGAGCTTCTGAAATAGTTGAATTTGCTTACACCTTTCTTGCCTTGAATGCACAAATAGATGAGTAATATTGAAATAAAAAGACAATGTAGCATTCTAGATATTTGTAGACATATAAAATTGAATTTTAGTATAAACTTATTTCCAGAAGTGTAAAGGGAAAATAAATGTTCCAATTAGTTTTGCCCGTCTTTTGGGATGTACAGTAGTAACAATAAATGAGACATATTATGTTTTTCTCCATAATTGCTTTGAAAGAGGAAAAAAAACTCTTGAATCCAAACATTGTAATTGTAAACATTGTAATCTCTATCAAATTTACATCTACCAGTATCAGGAAGAAGTCCAAAAACATAAATAGAATGCAAAAGATAAATGCAAAGCAAAGTTTCAAATGATAATGCAACAGATTCCTTTACCACATATTAATGTCTGTATGTTGTGAAAATAATATTTGGGTGAATGTTGTTTATGTTCTGGGCTCTGGGCTGTTTTATAATGTCTTGCAAAGGTATAAAGACCTTTGTACAGTTTTCGTTGCTTTATAGTTTGCAGTCATGACACTTAAAATAATCATTAAAAAAAACAAAAAGTAAAAAAATTGAAATTAATAACAACTTAACAATTTAAAGAAACAGAAGTCCAAGATACCAAAAAATAATACACCTTTAACTATCTACAGTATACCAGGGATGGACAACTTCATTCCTGCAGAGCAAGAGTCCTGTAGGTTTCACAGCTACTTTTCAATGAATTATGACTAAAAAACACAAAAAAACCTGTGTGGGCCTAAAATTGGGACTATATTTCACCTTTCATCAAGACTATCATAAAACAATAACCTAAAGGCCAAAACTAAACTGGAGTGACTTAAAAACATTTACCTAAATGTCCTTGAGCGGCCTAGCATAATCTGCCAATAATGATTCAGTCTGAACATGCATTTGTGCACCATTTTGTAATTTTACACACATCATAATAAGGGTCTGATAACTTTTGCATAGCACTGTAAGAAATATATGGACAAAACTATGAATACACTTAGCAACTAAACTATGAAAAAAGTAAAAAAGGCCATATTAGCTACTCTCAGTCATATCTTGTGTTTATATTCCATACTGAAATACTCATTAAAAGTTTTGTTTGAGTGTTGTACCCAAAAGACCAGTAAGAAAACAAAATATTAAAAATCACACATAAAATATTGTTGTTAGTATATGTTAATGCATTAATGCTTGCTAATCCAAAAAATAATGGATAATCTGTATGAAAAATTAATGCATTTATGTTAAGGTTGTTATAACCCAGAGTTTATCCCATAATGATACTGTAAAATGCAAGACAGTTCTACAACCTGAATGCGAAACCGGTCAACTAAATGAATTATCCAAGAATAAAAATTAAAAGGAAGTCAAACTGAAGATTAAGAGCGACTGATAAAAATCAAAGGTTTATATCCCAAAAGAAACTGCTGGGTGCAAAAAATCTCCATTTAGTTGAATAATTTTGATCTTCAGACAACAGGAAACTTTCATATCCATCTTCATGCCAACAACACTGTCCTACTGTCATACACAACTGGACCTACTTTGACATCGGTAAAGACTGAATTGCACCTGGTGTCTATGAAATTCTGTAGGCTTTCTGTGAAGAGTGTATTGTGTCACAAAAATGCAACTTACTTTGTAACAAACACATTTTTACTAATGTTTGTTGGGGCAAAAGGTGAGACATAAATATCTAGTTATTTGCTTGGGTAGTGCTTTAACTTCCAAATCGTTTTAATAAATATAAGTTAAAATCAAGTCTAGAGCTGGTACTGTATCGCCTATTGCAACAAAACACGGTCATACTGTAGCTCAAATATCTGTAATCCCAGTTTGAATTGTTGTGATCTTGAAAATAGAGTGGCCCCAAAGTTTGATCTTACCATATTTGATGCTTTATGACATTCTACTATGCTGGCACTACACATACTAAACAAGAACAGTACAGATAAAATTGTCTTGACCTTGTGAAAGGATGTCTGTGACAGGCAATTGCTAAATTGTTATTTAGCATTGTCAAAATTAACCTGGAGGAATTCTTCTGTGAAATTAAAGTGAAACATGAACCAGAGGACATGAATGAGAAATGCATGGAAGTGTATTTTTTATTATAATTATAAAAACTAAATTCCTTCATGTACTGAACAACATGATGACACAGGCATACTACTGTATATTATCTATTTCATATTTCTATTTCATGAAAACATGGCAAACATAAGCTTTAATATGACAAACACATAAAACAAACATTTAATAATGCAATCTTGTTTACCACATGTACTGTATGTAGACACAGCATGATGACATTATTAATTTAAAATGGTAGTACTGTACAATACTTCATTAAAGAAGAAAACAATATTTTATTATGGACATTATGGAATACTGTTTGAAAAAAAACTTGCTTTATCATTAACAACACAAAATAAAACACTTCAATCAGAATCACAAGCTTTTAAAAATCGTAGAAGTCCAAGATACCAAACATAACAGAAAACAACACAAAGCACCTTTAACAATCTATATTAGGGATGGACAACTCCAATTCTGCGGAGCAAGAGCCCTGTACATTTCACAGGTACTTTTCAATCAATAGATGATGATGACCTAAAAGTAGGTGATTTGACCTCAATTAAATACTGTAGATGTTAAGAGGAACCACATGATTCTACAGCTCTTGAGGACTGGAGTTGCTCATTCATGATCTATGTCATTCCACCTCTCAAAGAGCTAAAATTAGAGCTTTTCTGAGCCTGGATCCACACACACTTGTTTTTGTTTGCAGATGAGCTCTGATTTACGCAATTGAACCCTTAACGGAGCTAATAATAGCATTAATAGAAACATCTAACCTACCATTTCTGCCTAATGTTCTAAAACAGGGCTGTTGCTATTCAGTTAAAAGATAATGTACATGAAAAAGTCAAGCTAGGATTATTAACAGTTTGCTGTTTTTATCCATTTATTGTTCAGTTTAAACTCTGTTCTGTCTTTGATGCCGTTGTTAATACTGTTAAGTTGTTGTTATTACTGGAACTGCTTTATTGGAGTTTAAATGTTATCTGAGGCAAAACAATTTGTTCAGATTGGGGATTATTTCTTGTCTATCAAGATGGTCATATCTGTTTTTCTCCTAGCCTTTATTCTTGGTCCTATTGTTTTATTATCTATACTGTATGTTACCATAGGGTCACAGTTTTGTAAACATGGCATCAGGTTTCAGAACTTTGCTGATGTTTATTTCCGCACAAACCTGATATGAATCAGGCACTACTGTATCTGTCTTGTCACTTTAAAACTCTTCTTCTCATAATTATATTGTGAGGGTGTCTTTTCACCTTCGTAATATTGGTTGTAGCAATTCACATCTCTTTTCATCTGATAAATAAACACTAATGGGTGGATTTGGATTTTCAGGTTTGATTATTGTAACATAGTGCTTAATCAAACATGATGTGACCAAGCTGCAACACGTTAAGAAGTGCTTAGATTTGAATTCAAACTAAATTGAATAACCAGACATCACCTCCCTTGTAGCTGGCTCCCTGTGGATTTCAGAATTAAATCAAAAATACTGCTGCTCACTCCCAAAAGCTTGAACCATTTGACTCCTGACTACATCAGTGAGATGTTAAACCTTCATATGCCTACATGATATTTGCACTCTTTGAACTCTGGCCTTATTGTGGATCCCATTATGAGGATTTTAATACTGGGACAAAGATGAAATCACTCAGATCATGAATGATACACCCAAGCTAAACAGCTCACATCAGAAGGAAGTAGAAGGAGTTTGGCAGAAGACAATAATTAATACTGAGGCTGGGTATTCTGTGAAATACTGTAAAACTAAGGGTGAAAGAAAAATACACCAAACCAAAATGCCAACTTTAAGAAAAAATCCTTCCACCCAAGATAAACCCAAATATGTAACGTGGAAGCATGGTAGTGTAGTGTTTATATTGTATGTAGAGGTTAATTTGGAAGACTGTAGAAACCATTTAGTGGGAACATCAAAGGAGGTACCACTGGTGAGTGGAGAGATTTTGGGGTATTTTTGAAGACTGTCAAAAAAGTTTTGTTTTTGACTTATGTAATGAAAAATCTAAAACTTTGTGCCCAAGAAATCCAAAACTTTTTTCATGCTTTGAATGTTCCACTTTGTTATAAATATATCCAATTGGTCCTTGGCAAGTTGCACAGCAAGACCTCAATGAAGGGTTAAATAGCATCTTCATACAGAATACAGTACAACCCTATTCAAATCTAATCACCCTTTGTCTCTTTGGTAGAGACAGCTCTGGATTCATGCCTTAAAACAGATTACGTTAACACAAAGTAGGCAGCCGGTTGTAATGACAAAAGACAGAGGCACAAAGCTAATTGTTCTGTTTTGCACAGAGAAAAGACACTCAGATTATGGTACGTTAAACCCTGGGAATGCAGGGAAACATCATCTGCCCATATGGTGTCCCTTTGCCTTAAGGAACTCATAAGGATAAGGTTAAGGATAGGTTTGTTTCATTACTGCTTTTATCATAGGTTGCACTACTATACATTTTACAACTATCCATTACTTATACATTATTTCACTCCAGTTATTAAACTTAAATACTACAGGTGGCCTTTGAAGTAAGGTTTTGTTCTAGGCATTAATTCACATGTACAGTATTAGAAAGAAACTGTGGGAGCTATTTCAAACTGGGAAGGGAATAAATGGATACAACAGATGTAATAAAAAGAAATATCCAAGCGAAAATTGGCTATGAATCACTTTTTAACCTAATACTTTCAGTGCACATTTCATGAATACAATGAAAATCAAGAGCTAATGAAAGACTAAGACACTATGCTGCTCTGGTGACACAATGGACACTGGATGACACTAACACACTAAGTATTCTATTTTATATCTCTCTTTTTATTAAAGTCCATGTGAAAAAGGATTGTTTTTTAAAAGAACATGTTTAATGTTGTCAGAACCAAGACAAGCTGATCTAAGATCTTTTAAATAAGTTAGTTAACAGTTGAAGGAATCAGAGGCAGGAAAAAAAGTTAAGGGCTTCGTTTTGTTCACTGGCCTGTCTCAGACCTTTGGGAAAGGCCGCTTCAGAATCCACTTGTCATGTTTGTGGGCCTCCTGCTCCTCCGGCTCCGACTCACTGCTGCTGCTACTTCCACAGCTGCTACTGCTGCTACTGGGACTGTCGCTACCACTGAAATCATAGCAATCCCTCTCCTTCTTTGTCTCTTTCCCCTTCTTCTCTGACAGCTCCACCCTCGTCTTGGAGCCAGATGGGGGGCCTAGCGCTGACTTCTTTCCCCGCTGCCGTTTCAGAGTAAATCCATGGGAGAGCTTCTTCTTCAAGGGGGCCTCGGCCTTTTTGTCTTTCGGATTGGTCTTCGGGAGCTTTTCAAGGCTCTTGGTTGTTTTTGAGCTCACAACGAACCAATCCTGTTGAAGTAAAAACCAAAGACAAGTTTTGTAAATGGAATTTACTGTATGTGTAAGTAATTTGCTCACTGAAATGTTTAAATGGCTTAAAGATACTTTTATGGTGAGATCTTTGACTGTTATCAGACTACTAAACCCCAACGATTACTGTCTACTGTTCCAATGTCTAAACTGAAATTGTATAGGTCTTTCTCTTGTTTGTGATTCAACTTCCAGAGAATACATTCATAATTCATTTTGATTCTAGGGCGAAGACATTGCTCCTATAAGGCAGATTCTCAGAATATTCAATGTGTCTGTTCTTGTGTAAGGGTAACCACATCCTTTCTTTCACCTAAATCCATCCTGATCATTACATCTATGAGATGTTTTCACATTGTTACAATAGAGGGGTTAAAGTCAGACTGAATAAGAGTTGTAACACCAGCTAAATAAAACACCCTAACTGTCCAGGGAATACTGGGCAGACATTGTGACTACTTTAATTTTCTGTGATTAACTTAGAAGGTGCTAAATAAATAGGCAATAACAAAAAGAAAAGCATTAAAAAACTACAAACAAGTGTTAGAAGGTTAGAATGCTTTTAGAAATTGTTCTAGAACCCCCAAAATATTGCATTCATCTTCAAGATACAACACAAATACTGACAAATAGTGACAAACCCTAATCCACTGATGAGAAGATGTAAATATTTAAATTGGAAGAAAGTAACTGGTACCTTACTTTCACAAAATAAATCCTCCACACTCTAAAGTGATGTTAAACATAGATAACGTTTTGTCCATGTTCAAGAAAGCATCCAGATACATTCAAGAGTGATAAAAGTTGCCTGGCAGATTTAAAGGGAAATACAATAACTCCAAGATATTACATTATTTGTTGGATAGCAGACCAGTTTAAATAGTCAAATTAAACCCTTTAGACGTCTTCTTTCTTTTGCCCAGAAAAATATAAACATTGAAATGGAGCATTTCTACATGCAGCTATCTAAAAATAGAATATCTGATATCAAACATTTCCTTACTCGATTACTTGCCTGAACTATATTTTAGGAAGACTGAACTGCTTACAACTTCAACAATACTGAATACTCCAGTGAAAACATTGAAAGGCAAGCACTGCATGTTAGAACTGGCAAAAGAATAATTACAACTCAGAACCAGCAAGTTCCTCAAAATGAAAATAGTATAAGCAAATGCACTGTACCATAGAAATGGAAATAAAATGCATAGCTGTAGCTGTGTAAAGGTTCAAACAAAAAACAAAGATGAATTATGAAAAATCTGTTGAACCTTCATATATGCACCAAACTAGTCACTTAGTGACTGCATTACCTTCTGCACAATAATGTTGGTATGCTTTGATCCTGATCACAGCAGTGACATTACAAAATACACAGATACAGTATGTTTACTTACCCATATAAGTAATATTGGAGAGGAAAACTACAGTCCTGTGTTTTCAATTTGTCTTCCAAACAGGACTACTGTGACTTACGGTGTGAAATTGAAAATCTTAAAATGGAATTATTTCCATTGATTTGTATTCAACAGACTCACGGCTATATTTCACTGCGTTTGTATGCCAAACAGACACCCTTAATTAACCTTCCCCGGCGAGATAAGGCTGCTGTAAATCTGACCAAAAAATCCCTTACCTGAGCATGAATAGAGTTGATGTGATACTTCACCCCACTCTCTGAGCTGAATTCTTTATCGCATATCAGGCATTTGTATTTTCCTGCTTCAAAGTCACCCTGTGAAAACAAGACTCAGGCTTGAAATAATACGCATAAAAAAAAAGGAAAACAAAACTTTGTGGTCTAGGATCACTCTAGTAAACACATTTTACTAATCAAAAGTACTATATAACCTAAGATAGGCACCTTTACAGTGATTGAAAAACACGTACTGTATATGGTACTTTACTTCAAAGAAGTTGAATAATTTATTAATTTTAATTTTCACTTTTAATGCTGCAGCCGGTGTTAGTGCCACATTAAACACATTCTCCATTGTATTGTACACAACAATGCTGTGTATGTAAGTTTAGTCTTATAACTCTGTATGATACAGGGTGGGGCATAAATTGAGAACAGAAGGAAATGTCAAATGTCATCTAGATTGAATAGCTGTTGTAATTCTAATTGTGGAACTGTTATCAGTTCATTGACTTGGTTAAATCTTTGGTTTGTATATAGTAAATACACTGTAGCTTTTGCAGGGTAGGAAATACTGATCAGACAATATTACTACACATTTCATGTCATTTCCAGTTGTGGAAAAAAGAAAAGTTTTTGTTTGAATTCTTCTGTCAGCATTTCTTATCAAACAATCCCCAAATAATAGTAGTCAATGTTGATAGTAGTCACTACTGCACAATCTTCAGGCACATCTGATATATCCCATTCAGATGAAATAATCACAGAGAAAATATGTATTCTTATGTCATCTTACATTTTCACTGTCCTGTATAACACATTCGCGAACATTTCAGATGGTAAAGGTAACCGGAAAAAGTTAATTTCAAAATACGTTATCTTTCTGATGAAAGTAAAGATGAGTCTGACTCTGGGTGTTAGGTCAGTAATACTGAAAATAAACTGTTAACCCAAAGCTGCCTTCTCTAGTACACCACACAGCAGGTGAGAAGGAGTGTCTGAAAATCTGGAAGACAACACCCAGAACAAGTGTGAAAAACTGAAATCTGTAAATGAATGGAAAAGTATAAAAAATCACTATGAAAGGATGTAGTCAGAAAGGTCAGTATAATCATGGCCAGGAGATGTATCTGTCTCAATCCAGTATTATAGGTTAGGAACACCTGTACATTATTGATGATAATATTAATATGCAATATCCGTAAATGTTGCCGAATGTCAATATCTGCAGGATTCTGGAGGATTGAAGTAGTCAGATTTTGATCCCAAGTGATCGTTTAGTTACTCTTATTTAATACAGTACAGTATATCACCAGATTAATTAATCATAATGAAACTGTTCCAAGTCATTAGAAACTAATAGCCCATAAATTCTGTTGGACTAGATCTACACCCTAACGTGCAAATACAGTACATGTTTGCGTGTGTGTATCTGATCAATTATTTCAATGAGTTACTTTATTAGTCGAATAAATAAATAAACACACTTCCTTGTAAAATGAATCTCAGCTACTAAAACACAGGATTATATTTATTATTACTGTTGGAATTATTTGAAACACATTATTAATAATTTACCTGTTCCTGAACAGAATAGTACAGGAAAATTTAAAAAATGGGCTTTAAACAGATGCATAATGTAAGATACTGTATGCTTTTTTGGATTTATAGATATAGAAAAAAGCCATATGCTACATGTATTTAAGTACATGACTCGCTCATTATACCACACAAAAGTGAATAAGACGTGAATAAAATTATTTTGAGTGTCCCAGTCGAATTTTGGTCTTGACAGAAAATCTGTGGCAAGACATGAAAATTGCTGTCTATCAATGATCCCTAAACAACCTGATAGAGCATGTTTGCAAAGGAGAATAAGAGAAAAATGCTGTCTTACTGGATTAAGTGTGATGCTTTCTAGAGTTACTTCAAGTCTAACTAAGCTTGAGCCAGTTTAATGGATTGGTTAGACAAGTGGTTCTCAAACTGTGGTACGCGTACCGGCAGTGGTACGTGGAGTGCCGCCAGGTGGTACGCCAAATGACCCTGGAACTGTGTCAAAAATCGGGACGGGTTTTCATATTTTAATACGTGTCGAATACGCAGCCTACGTACTACGATACTGTGTGCGCTAATACTTCAGTGGACACAAGAGATACTCTGTAATTCTATACCACTCTATAGGAATGTGTGCTACGGATGCAAGTGACCAATTGTATTTAAAAAAAGGAACTGTATCTCCAACAAATAGGGAGAAAGGAGAATGTGCGTGATTTTGGAACAATGCCAACGTTGTAAACACAGGAATACATAGAAATACGTGCTACGAACGCAGGTAATCTTGTGAGCACACGAAAGCGTGATAACAGAAAAATATTTAAGAACTGTTCTAATTTGAGAAAAATACACAGAGCGTCTCTGTGTTTCGCTCCCATGCGCATGAAATAAAAACTTTAAATAAATACGGAAATAAAAACGGAAACGCAGAAAAATGCAAGCTTGCGGCTTGCTAAAGCAGGTAAGCTACACTATGTTTGAAGAACCTTATTTACCGTTGGCAAAAGAGCTGACACGCATTATGTGTAGAGAAAAAGCTGCTAAACAGCTCGACCTGCTGCCCCCCTCCCCCTGAAAGACACAGTCATTCATAGAATTATTTAAATGAAGGATTATATCAAAAGTACACTGACAGAGCGCGTTAAGATGAGCAGATGTTTTTCACTGCAATTAGATGAGTCTGTAGTCGATTTGGCCAATTAGCTCGTTTACGTTAGATACGAGTTTGAGGGCATGTCCCATGAAGACTTTCTGTTCTGTAAACCGCTACCAACAGAACTACAGGAGAGCACATATTTCAGCTTCTGAATGAATTTATCGAAGAGAATGGCATTGACTGGATAAAATGTGTGGGAGTTTGTACAGACGGTGCTAGAGCAATGACAAGCCGACATAACGGTGTAGTTGCACAAATTAGAGAGGTTGCTCCAGAAATTAATGTACGCATTACAACATCCACCGTGAGACCTTTGCCGTCAAGAAAATGCCTGACGATTTAATATCTGTTAGACTCTGTTGTGAATTGTATCAAGGCTCGAAAAAATTAATTCACATCTGCTTTGCTCAACTAAACAGGCTCACCCCTCTCACTGAAATGGTGCTTTTTTATTAGTTGTTGTTAATGTTTTTTTCTGTAAAACACTTTGAGAAGCCACCTTTAAAGGCGCTATATCAAATAAAGTTTTTTATTATAATATTTATTATATGTATGTGTGAGTGTGTGTGCACGCACACTCATGTTGGTCATTGAGAATTTCTGGGGTTCCTATGAGATGATGACTTGTAGGTGGTACTTGGATGCTTTGGTTGGATTAGGGGTGGTACTTAGTCCAAAAAGTTTGAGAACCACTGGGTTAGACAAAAGCTCTTTAAATTTGGGCACCCTGTGTACTTATACGGAACTCTGCAGGTTCAGTAGTGTGATGTAATACGCAGAATCAAGTCATGAAAGACTTGTAGCCTTAAGCACGTCTTGAAGCATACTGTAAATGCATAGAGGTCTTGTATGTTTTAGGGTAACTGTGAGACATTTAGCAGTATATACAGTACTTAAATCCTTCTGCTCTTCGTATTCCAGTGCCTTTTTTGCTTAGTCATCACGTGACCATTACATGGAAATGAAATGAATGAATGTATAATACCAATATTTTTATACCACATCCTGCACTTTTAGACTTTTGACATATTTTGTACACCTTATTATTAAGGTTTATTTATTTTTTGCAAAAAAATATAAGTTCCGGAGCTACATTCAAGCGTTATGTTGACCAGCAGTTTTTGGGCTACTGCAAAAACATCAAACAATTACAGTGGCAGTCACCTGAAAATGCCCATTTTTGAGGAGTATGTAAACTTTCATGTCATTTGATATTTAATTAAACTTTTTGAAAGAAAGGGCATAAACAGAAACAGCAATAATTGACTTACCCTAGAGCATAGTCCAAGATGAGCTTTCAGTCCCGACACGCTGGTGTAGACTGAATCACAACCCTGAGAGAAATCAGGCAAGCTAGTTATTAGACATTTTCAAACCACTGAAAATAACATTCAGGTCTCAGGTGACGTATCTACTTATATAATTAAATATTTATAAAAAAAACTAATTAAATATAGATATAAAAATCATTGTCCTACCTGGTTCGGACAATGCACCTTTCTGTGCATCTTGACTTCATTTTTCCATTTCTTCAGGACATCCTGACTAAAAGCTGGTAACCCCGGTCTAGCATATTTAAGCTACAGAGTGCGGACAAAAAACAAGCACAAGACTCATGCAGCGAAAGCTGAATAAAGTTTAAGTCCTTTTAACCTCTGTATACAGACAGGGGTTAAATAAAGCAGATTTGCAATACCGTAGCTCCTTAAAAAGTATCTCTCAATCTAATTTGTAGTATCTTTCAACAGGCTTTAAATTAAATTGGGTAACTGATGTATGCATTTAGTGTAGGGCATCTCTTTTGTTAAAGAAAATGTGTTGGTGTTTTAACGTAACAGAAAATGCTGTGAGACTGGAGTCTGACGTTGATAAATGAAAGTCAGATAGGTTTTGGATTCAATTTGGTCCTGCACTAACATTTCTCAGAGAAGCTGCCTTATACATACTCAATCACTCCCGTTAAACCATAAATATCATGCTGCGGCAGACATGCTCCCGGATGCTTAGCAGACAAGTGGTCCACAAGTTATCTGAAGTGCAGACTGCACTCACTTTCCTGTCATCAGGCACAAGGTCTTGCTGCACCTTCCTCTTGGGCCACTCCTTCAGCAGCTCCTCCATGGCAATTTCCTGCAAGTGGAACACTGCCACCTGGGCTGACTGCCTTTTCACCCTCCCGCTGGCTGTCCTCTCCACGTCGGCCTCCTTTTGCATTGTTGTGTCCTCCTCCTCGCTTTTCAGAGTTGTCTGGATTGAAAAGGAACCTAATCAACTCCTAGATATTGACTCAAACTTTGGAAAAAAAAAGTCTGGATAGGTAGGTCAAACACTGGACTGTCTGGATAAAAGCCAGACAGGTGTGAACCACAGCAGACATCATATACAACGTAGTCTAACAAAAGCACCTTTCTATGAATCCTGGAACATTACTCAGATTACCTTTTCTTATACTGTACGGTATACTGTATATCCCATAATGCTGTGCCATGTTACCACTTGTCCTTCAATCATGGTGGCAATGAAATTTTATATTTGACAGGTTTGAATTTCTCAGAACATAAAATCCTATTTTGGCTTCATTCCACTGTTGATTTTGCTGCAGTTTTCACTGTCTTTAAAATCTCTTTCCTCATGAAATGTCCACCTGTAGTATTCAACAATTAAAGATTCTTGTTCTTGCCAATAATTACAATGGAAACTCACAAGACCTTGTTCATGTGTCTTACTGTGATTTTAAAAAAAGATGGGTGACCATTGTTTTCCAGATAACATCATAATCCTGACACATAATTTTAAAGTCTGTTTCATTTTTCCCATAATGCTGTCTACACTCCTATCAATGTTGACCTGGCAGCAGAGAAACAAGTTAACAGGAAAATTTGAAACCACTTAGAAATTAAAATAGATTTAGATGGATATCTGAACTATTTCTGGACAGTTCTGTTAAAAAGGATGGGAAAGCCCCCCTTGATTTAGCCAAAACCTTGCAGTGGGAACCCTCCTCCCCCAGGAAAGTAAAAGACCTTCAAAGGCTTGGTTCACGTTAATGAACACATTTACCTTTAAAATTACTTAAGACTTCTTCCCACGCAGGACGCTGACGTGTTTTGCATATTTTTCAAAGGCATCTCCTTCTGGGAGATTGCTCATTGATTTTAATTTTAAGACAATAATATCAAAGTTATTGTCATTCATATAAAATGTCCCCCTTTTAAGTTTGTAAGTTATTCACCTTTGAAGAGGGTGGGGTATTGAAGGTTTTAGTTTTTTTAGGACTAAAGTGCCCCAGACGCTTCAATGCACCAGAGAGAATCCCTTTTGGGATTTTCTTTTGCTTTCAGAGCACTTGTGAGCAATTCCTAACTGAATGGTTCCTCTAAAGACATTTATTCTGTTGCCGTAACAACCAGAATAGGAGAGCACACAGTTTTATAGGCATTTATATTCATTTAAATGAAACAAACAAGTATTTTAAAATACATTTCAGTAATGTGAGATCAGTTTGACAAATGATAAATTCTGATTTGCTTGTGGTATAAAAGCTGTGAATCCCAACACACTTATTGGAGAATTACCTCTGTGTTGTTTCATGAGATAAAAGTCATTTAATGTAAAAACTACACTGGGTTCCAAAAAATAAAATTATATTGTTGACTAGCTGAAAACAATTTCAAATTTCTTATTTATAATCTAATGAAGGTTTCTTTGAATTCTGCAAAAATAACTCGACCTAGGGAATGGTTAGTTGTGAATAAACCAAATCTTATCAGACTTTTTAATTCATGTTTTGGTAAAGATATTCATTATCATGTTAGAGGAATGTTGGAGAATCAGGTTTGCTTAAAATTCCCATTAGGCTCTTTAAAAAACTCCCGCTTTAGTGAAGGCCCAATTATTGTAGCCATATTAAAGATACTGGCAACATTGAGAATATGAACCAGGTGTAGCAAACCTTGGCAATTGTATTCCATTTTAAGTCTTTGTACCAGCTAATCCTTACATTTTCAGCCTGTATTAATTAAGAATCAGTCAGGTAATTAATTTATGGTAAAGTTCAAAGTCTGGACATACTGGAAATGCCAAGATTGAATACCCCTGAATGGCCCAACAATATAATCTCTGAAGTTCTGGTGTTTAGCTAATGTCAGAGCCAGTGAACTGTGCAGAACACTGAAAGTCCAGGTTTATAGCAATCTGGATTCCTAATATTACTAGTATATGACTCACTGGTCCATGCTCAGACTTCAGGTGGTACTCCAGGCCTGCCTTGGACTTGTAGGGTTTTCCACAGTGTTTGCAATTCAGCACAAGTTTCTCCAGCTCAGATTCTTCTTTGCCACACTTCCTCGTGTGATACAGGTAACCCATGATGCTGGTGAAGCTGCCTGTACAGCCCTGAAATCAAGTTACAAATAAGAATATTTTCTATGACATCAGAATCAGAATCACTTCATTTGCCAACTACAGTATGTTACGGGTATTGTTTAGGTGTCAGGTGATTGTAATTTTGATTGAGCATTTAAAATCTCCCCGAGGTAAATTTTTGAGAACAGACAGTGTTCAGACTTGGATGACAGGAGCCATTGAAGATTTTTTCTGCTCACTTCTTTAGTATGAGTTTATACGGGTCTTCACCAGATAGTAAATGGTAGCCAATACTCTCCCTGTACAGTGGACAGTGTGTTGCAATTTGCCTCTAGAATGGACAGATGCATTGCCAAACCGTGTACAAAAGCTGTGAGAAACCTATCAATAATGGCTTTATAAAACTGAATGAGAATGTCCTCGGAAACATTGAGAAGTTTCATCTGACATGGGAAATACAATCTCTGGTGTGCCACTTTTTGTGATGCTCATAACATTTGCATCCTAGTTGACGGTGTTAGAGATGGTTATTCCTAGGAACTTGAAAGTCTCCACTCACCACAACCTTATCAATTTCTAGGGGGGTGGGTTTTGGAGCCAATTAACATTTCCATTTTTTTTAGACTGTTGATCTGAAGGATTTTTGGACACCATGCCAACAGATGTTCCACTTCCCTTCTGTACTTATGAGAAGTGAGAAACTTGGTTTGGGAGGCTAACCCACAGTAAAGTACAATAATTGGGA